GTTATGCGAAGGCCAACAACTGTGCCAAGTTTGGAAGAAATTGGTGCAGCGGTTACCAAGATATACACATGTAACCATAAGTGGGCGTGGCTACGCCCATTTTCCAAAAATTTATAATATTCTTATTTTTCGTCTAAAACTTATTGTAAATATCAATTTTGAGTGAATTATCTTCAGTAGTTACTAAAATATCGCAGTTTTCGTATTTCTGGAAATTACCGTTATATGGGAAGTGGGCGTGGTTACAGTCCATTTTCAATACCAACCTACCTTGGATTAACGGAAACCTACATACCAAATTTCGTTGAGACATCTCAATTTTTGCTCGATTTATGGTGTACACGGACGGACGGACAGACGGACAGACGGACTTTTGGAAAATGGGCGTGGCACCGCCCACTTATGATCACATATATGTATATCGGTTACCGTTCTACCAAATTTGTACCAAACTCGGTAGGTTATTGTACTTGCCACGTGTAAGCAAAACGTTGAAAATTATTGAAATCGGACTAAAATTACGGCCGCTTTTCATATAACGGTAAATTTCAGAAATGCTTGAAACTGCAATATTTCGAAATTTAAGGACGCTAATTTACTCAAAATTGATACACCCAGGCTTGCCATCTAGCGGTAGCTTTCGGAAAGGTGAAAAAACATATATTTAATACTTGCGCCGGGTATTTAATGTTCGGCTCCACCCGAACTTAGACTTTCTTACTTAGCACTGAATTTGCAAATCCACCTTGTTTAATTCTATTCGCATTGAAAATCCTAGTACGCAGTTAAGTTAAGTATTTATTTTATTCTTTTCTAATTATTTGTACAAATTTTTATTTTTTTGCCACCTGAGGAAAATACATCATTTCTTAGCGCTGAATCCAAATTTGGCCGCACAATTGCTCTGGCACTAGAATTTTGAGATATCCTATGCTCAAAGTGCCGAAAACGCGAAAAAGCTTTGTGTATTGATTTATGTTTTTATACTTGTAAATATCGTCTATTTTTTAGTTTTTTTAAATGCAACTATTTTAAAAAAAAGCATCCTTTGATTAAAAAAAATTTGGTGCTTTTAGTGTGGCAAAACGCTTTTTTTCAAGTTTTTGGTACTTTTTGAATATCACAAGTTGGCAACACTGTTTCTTAAGCATCGAATCCGAACCGTCAATATTGTTTTTAGAATAAAAAGACATAACATCTTTTAATACAGTGTTATTTAAAACAAAACAAAGAGCAAAAACTTGAGAATAAAGAAATACACACAATAAATACACATAAATACATACATAAATACATAAGTACACACAACAAATATGTACGATGGCGAGAATGTAAATAGCGAAAAGACATTTTAGCAGGTTTTGGCTACTTTTCTTTGTATAAAAAATGTTTATAAATATATAATTTACTATCTAAACAAAACATCTAAGTAAATTAAAATTTCAAACTTTGTAAAACATTTATAAAAATTCGGCAAATTTTAACAACTGTTTATCAAAATTTTAAATATTTTAATCAGATTTTCTAGAATTTGTTTTAGTATTCAGTTTAGTAGCCCATTAAATTCTTGTATAAAAAAGTGCGAAGTTGAAATAGCTTGGTCTTATCGTTGATTTTCGGACATTTTTTGTTCGCGCTTACCCTACAAAAAAATTATGTTCAACAATTCTTTTGTATAGAGAAAATTAGCAACAAAAACATTTTATCTACGGTAGCCCACTTAAAATTTGCACTTGAATTGAATGGGCTAGAAAACTGCATACTCAGAATATTTTTGAGAAGTCTAATTAAAAAGCTCAAAGTTTTGATAAAATTTTGTCGAATTTTGCTAATTTGTACAAAGTTTGAAACTTTGTCATACATGGTCTTTGTTAGATAAAGAGCTAACTTTCATAAAAAGCTAATAAACATTAAATAATCGCCAAAGAATGCTAAAATGTCTTATAATTTTCGTATCTATGTTTTCTTTTTGAGGGAATTAGTAAGTTTTTTTTATAATCTCACTAAAATCAAGATAGAAACGTTTCATTAAAAAAACAAAAAAACTGAACAAATAATTATACAAATTATTTTTAAGCAAATAACAATACCGACTTCAATTATAATATTAAAATTTAAGAAAATCTTTAATTTCTGAATGATTCAATGATCGGACCTAAACCAAATTAGTACGGGACCATCTCTGAGGTACCGTCATTCCTTTAAAAAAATTATTATAGAAATCTTAAGGATGTCCAAATTTATGCGGTTGCATACATAAAAAAACTATTCTGACGAATTGATAACCTGCTTTTTTTTTTTAATGGACAAAAGAATGATGGACTCCAATATGGCGAGAGTACCAGTTTGACAGAATAAAACATAACCAAAGATCATCGAAAATAACAGTACCGTTTTTTTTTTGTATGGGGAGTGACGCAGTCCAATGTACATACATACATATAGCAGCAGTTAACTTCATTTAAAGAAATGGCGTGTCGTCCATTTCCGCTGTAGCGTATGTAAATAGTGCATATATTTAGGCGCAATATTTAACTTCTTCTGGCGGGGCGACATCTAGAGTCTTCTAGTTGTATCTCTTTGATATAATGCCTACAACGAGGTTGATATCTAGACTAGGTTGATATATAGAATTTGCCATAAATAGCTTTGCTACATTCATAGTATAAATGGTGGTCTGGGCATACAACATTGCAAGTTGAGAAAAGCGTTGTAAAAATACGTAACTTTTGTTTGAAACTTTTTTCCCAGAAGCGCCCCTTCGACTTCAACTCGTCCTGGACTTCTAAAATGGACGAAAATATTTTTACTGGAAAACGAAAAAATCTGAATTACCAAGTCGAGGACGCTCTATCTTTTGGTCGTATTACCGACTTTTGGTTTTGACCGGAAATGGGTTATACTGACCGGAAGTCCATTTTACATTACATATTTTTAACACTGCTTCGGATTCTGCGCGTACAAATACATACCTTTTGTCTGAAAATTTCTTCCGGTCTGTACCGGAAGTAGACCAAACTCACCGGAAGTCCGCTTTTTTAAATTACACATGTATTTTTTTACTAAATATACGGATTATGTGGGGAAAAATACGCAACTTTTGTTTGAATCTTTTTTTCTCGGAAGTGCCTTGTTCAGTTTCTAAATGACCTTCGAACTTTAACTCGTCCTGGACTCCTGTTGAAAAGTGTTGAAAAAGGCACTTTCGAAGAACAAAGATTCCAACAAAACATTTTCCTCCATTTTAGACGTCCAGGACGAGTTGAAGTCATTAGGTGTTGAAAACGGTTAAATACTTAGTACAACGGAGTTTTGGTTCAACGATTCGTCAGTGGATGAGAGCTTAGTAAACTGGCCAGGGGTAGAAAACGTTTAAGAGAGTTTAAGTGTAGTCTATCGAATATACTATTTTGACATACAATATATTTAAGAAATTAGTCTACTGATTTATTAAAAACTGCTGACTGTCTAAGGAGGCATTTCAAATATTTTAAAACTATCAACAGTTCAAGCAACAGCTCTACGATTTTGTTCTCAGACATCGTGCCAACTGAGTATTGGGATTTGCTTTCATAAGTAAAACCAGCTTTTCGAGCTTGTGTTTAGTATTCACGACGTTAGAACTGCATGAAATTGATAAAAAAAATTTAAAATTTGTGTCAAGCCGCCAAAAAGTAAGAAAACAAATGCGAAATCATACATTTTTCACAATTTTCTAACACTTCACTACACCATCAAAAGCGAAATTCTGTTCGACAGAAAATTTAATGCTCAACCAAAATTTCGACACGCTTGCATAGCTCATAATACGAATTTCACGTTCGATATTCGATCTTCCATAACCAGCGAAGATCGAAAATCGAAAGCAACTCGTAATAGGGGCCTTTATTTTCCTTTGATTTATTTTATATCATACCTTTTATTTTACTATTAGTTAATTTAAATTTTTAGAGTTGAATTTTATTAAAAAGTCAACAACAACTAACTGAAAACACCATTAAAAAATATATAACTTATAAAAAAATGAATAAAAACGAAATAAATGAAAATTCTACTGGCCGTCGGACTCGAACCCTCGTTGTCGTTAATCTGCATTACTGCCGTCTATCAGGGCGACATTATTATGAGCATTTGTGTGCCAGTTCTGGAAAACATCTGGTTCTTTTTTCACTGGTAAGTGTGCACAATGGTCACAGGCTTCAATTTCAGGCAACTAAAAGTTCGTTATCATGGTGCGGTAGTGTTCAGTATTGGCGGTAATATTCTGCTTGTGCCCAACATTTGACTGAAATAATTTTTAAGTGTAAATGTTGGAGGTTGTTTTTGCGAGTAATAGAAAAAATTCATTCATCCCGTTCTGTTTTAAATGTTTTAAAATTGAAAAAGAAAGGTCTGGATGGATCACCACTTATAAAAGCCAACCGTCCTGCTCCTCACCACATATCCTTCAAACTGTTATGTATTTCGGACTTCCTTTCAAAGCATCCATCCAGCCTGAAAGTATGCATTGAAATGTTGTAATCCACCTATCGCGTTTTGTTTACGCGATGTTTGGTGCTCTTGACTAGGGATGCACAGCAGAGATGCACGCAGTCGACGTCGCGGGCAAACTGCGAGCACGCGAGTGTGCTAGGCGAGGTGAAGTGAGATGTACGGAGATGGCAACGTATACATATTAACCACTACACACTTCTTTTCAAGTAAAAATGCGTGTATGGATGTGTACTTTTGCGACAACTGAGCCAGTGTGGCATCAGGCCACCAGAAAAAGCCAATTTTTCCAAAACAAAAGCGCCAAGTTTTTATTATCATGTTTAATATTTTTTTTGATTCAGTAAAAAATGTATATACATATCAGAGCTGTAAAATGATTGAATCAATAGGATCTGCATTCACTCGGCATTCTTTTCAAAATTTTGATTGTTTGTTTGTATAAAAAAAAACCTCATTACTGAGTGGCTTAAAATACTTGAAAACAAAGAAACTGTGTTGTGTTATTGAATGGTAGATTGACATTCAGTATAGAATGTGAATGTAACAGAAGCATTCGCACACAGACATGATTGTATATTTAGAATGAATGCACACTTTTTTTTTACCATTCAGTACCAATAATTTGTTCCCAGGGTTGATATATTTTATACTTTAAAGTTTGAACATATCTGGAATTGAAACAAAAACAAATATTTTATTTCAAAGTATATGTACTTATGTATTGAAGTTTTCTGCCACTAACCCAAAGCCAATGACTCGTGCAATATTATTTATTCCAAAGCAACTTATCGCAACCGTAGAGCAAAACAGACACATCTTGATATGTATACATATACATCATCGATTGTAGACATTTTTTCGCAGAAGAATATACAAAATTGATTTATCACAATTATTTTTGTACTAAATATTTTTTTCACAGTATACAGTGATCCAGGTAGCCAAAACAAAAAATGTAAACATGCTTATTTG